CGTGAACAGCTTTTGTTTTCAAGACAGCAAAATGTCAGTTCAGATATTAAAAATGCACACAGGCGCACTCTCCTCTCGCTGGGGCGGGGGAGAGGAGCTTCTGAGCCTGAGCAGCACGCGCTGGGGTGCGTCTCCTCCAGGACCCTGTGACCGCAGGATTTTGTCACCCCCCAGTTGGGGACCGAGCCTCCACGAGCAGCAGTAAGGACGGCGACTTCTGATCCGCAGGGACAGCAAGCACAGAGGGCAGCGCAGCAGAGAAGCAGAGATGTTGTTGGCAAAAGCACCAGCTGAGCTTCGGGAACGGCTTCTGCTGGCAGTTTCTGTGAGCGGGGCGGCAGCTCAGCTCAGGCTCGCTCTCAGCCAGCAGTGCATGTCATATCTGCAACAGACATGCCTGAAAATCCTTATCAGCTCTTCAACTGCCATTTCCCAGGTTTCCTTTCCAAGGAAGGGCACACAAAGGCAGCTGAGGCTTGCAGGGCTGAGCAGGGCCCGTGACCGTGCCAGGGCTCGGCTGGAGCTGCAGCAGTGCGGGGTCGGGGTCTGTGCCACCTGCTGCCCCTGCCCCAGCTTTTCGGGGCACCTGGCTCGTGTGCTGCATCCAGCTGGCTGCTGCCTTGCTCCGCTCGGGCGAGCTGGGGCTGGAACCACAACAGAGCACAGAAACCCACCGTGACGGCCCTTCAGGGGTGGGAAAAGGAGCGCTAGGCACCTCTTGGGGGAGATTTTACAAGCCTCTGCGAAGTGAACCTGCAAAATCCGTGACTCCAAAACTGATTAGGGTTTGAAGGGGTTCAGAGATGCACACGCACGGGGTTTTCAGGCAGGTGCTTTGCTCATGTCACCCAGTGTGAAGGAGCGTGATGTGGTGGGCCAGGAGAGGCGCCGGGCTGCCCACAACACACGGGTCTTGCTGGCGGTGCTGTGCCAGGGCACGGAGGGACAGCCACCACCCGCAGCGGGCACAGCCCTCCCCACCCAGTGTGCACGGGCAGGGCTCCACTGCGGTGCCTGCTACCACGGCCAGAACTGCTTTTGTCTGCAGTGCTACGGGTATTTCTGTCCTGTACACCGCTTCCTTGCCAGCCTCCAGCCTTCTGCCTCAGTTGCTAATGGCCACAAGTTCCTGTAGGAGGGCAGCAGGAATTGCTCACACTCAGCACAGAAGCAACTTTCCCCGTACCTATCTGCTCACCCCCAAAATGTTCCAAATATGTTCACTCACAAGTTCAGGCCATACCTGGGCATTTTCAGCATGCGAAGCTAGAGCTGGCAGGAAAACAGGAGATGGTGTAAATAGCCATTGCTAACAGTCTGTTTTCTATGTATTTTAAGGTATTTTTAGACAGACAAGGATGAGCTTCCCTTTTTTTGTACGAAGATGCGTTTGCCCGAATCCTTCAAGCCAAAATTTCCCCAGCTCTCAGCTGTGTGCAGGCGGCTGCTCAGAAGTACAGCAGGTAAGGGGAGCCATGAACACGGAGACAAAAAATAACGCCTGGCAAGCACGTCACACACCCAGGCAGTATGGGGGGGTAGGGACTAGGGGCAGCTCAGCCTTCGGGCAGCGCCTGCCGTGGCTGCGGGGCACACACGGTGTGTGGGGCAGCCCGGGCACCGCTTGGCCCTTGCCGAGGCAGCAAGGGGGGGCTGAATCTCAGGGGTCTGGATCTCGGGGATGGTGGGGGCTTCCTCTCCAGGCAGGGCAAGCAGGCGCTGGCAGCCCCCCGGTGCCTGTCCCCACCCGCCCCACACGGGGGGATGTTCCTGTGTGTGTCCGCACACACATTCAGCTCCACCACAAGCAGGCGTTGCAGTGATCTATGGATCTCAGCCCGAGGCCGGTTCGGGTCCATTTTTCTTACTGGCACACTGAAATACTGAAATCTGTGCCTAAGTTTTGCTAACCAAAACTAACAGGTAGCAACAGCTGGATTTATGTCCAGCCCGTTCCCTTCGCACACCCACACACTGCTATAGTTCAGCATTAATTGGGCTGACTGGGAATTTCCATTTGCTCGCTAGTGTGCTTTCTTCTCTGGTTAGGGATACATCATCCCTTTGAGTTAAATCAGCTGTTAAAAGAACAAAACATTCAGTTTAATGGAAATCAGTGGTATAAAATCCTAGATTTTGCAGAAAGTGCGTTAAGAGGCAAAGCTGGAAGGAATTCAGCTTCAGCTACACCAGCTAGAAACCTATTCAGCTACAAAAGCATATGCTGGAGTTATGGAGGAAAAGGTGCTAATGTAACATGTTTTATGGTTGTGCTCCAAAATAAGAACAGATTAGTGATACAAGCAGGAAGACGCTAATTTGCTGGCTGCAGATGAAGTCATGTAACAGTATGGCTGCTAAAAAATATGCCTTTTTCTTTACTCACTTAAGAGCTTGGACCTTTAACTGTTGAAGCACTGCAGGCAGGATGTGCACACTTAGCAGTACGTGAGATTTCCACTCCCAGCACTGCCAGGCTCTGAAGGGAGGTGCCGAGACATGCGCTGGGGATGAAGCAGGAGGGACAGTGGCTGCTCATGGACCTCTGGTGGCACAGGGCAGTGGCAGTGTCCTTGGCAGGTCCGTGGTGCCGAGGAGCAGCGGAGGAGGGAGCCTCCCCGCCCTGTGCTTGCCTCCCTCTGCCCCCCATCAGGAGTGGGACTGGCCCCCGGCTGGCAGAAGAGGGGCAAAGTAAGGAAGGCAGAGCTACCAGGTGGGGTGGGCAATGCTCAGCAAAGAGCCAGATATCGAGCCGCTGCATTAACTGGGGTGCATAAAGGGAAAAGGGAAGCCTGGATGAAGCAGGAGCAATAAAGGAGACAAGAATGCCAGGGATTTAAAAAATGTGCAGAGAAGGGAAACGTCTCTTCCCATGTTCTGAGCAAGGACAAGTGTTGTTCTGGAAAGGTGCTGCTGCTGGTGGCACGTGGCAGCACCTGGCCAGCTGCTGGCACAGGTTCCTAACCAGGAGAAGCCGGAGCCATGCGTGGGCACCCTGAGGGTGCTGCCAGAAGCCACAGGGCAGGCAGCAGCACGATGCACGTGAGCAGCACCCTTGCATCGCTGTAGCTCCCACCCTGAAAAATGAGGGGGCACTCAAGAAAGTTAGAAGGATGAGGTCGGTCTCTTGGAAAATCCTGCCCTGGCATAGAAAAGACACTGCAGATTCTCAGACCAGATTGTAAATGTGAGCTTGGAGTCTTCAGTAATGGATGAACTGAGCTGTAGCCGGGTGATGTGAAGCAGCATGACTGGTGGAGATTCCCTTTGACCTTCAGGTTATTCGTATCCTTCCTCAATATGCCTACCAGCCCTACAGGAACATCACACCAGCAGAGGTGCCACTTCCACACAGCCGTGACTTTGTGCTGGAGCTGGATACCTGGCGTCGGGGGAACCACTGCCCTGGGTGCCTGGGCAGACCGGGACACATCAGCACACGCTGCTGAGCACCCCTGCGCTGGTGACTTCGTGCTTCTCAGGGTCTCGTGTAAATGAACCACGGCCCCTTTCACAGCTCTGCTCACAAGCCCAATCCAAGAGAAGGCTGAAAGGCCCCATGAGAACAGATGCGGGGCTCCTTGGGGCACACCAGCACGGGCACAGGGTCCGGCAGCGCAGCGAGCAGGCACCAGCAGCCGCCCCCGCCCCGGTTTGTGTTGGGCAGCGCTGGGGCACTGACCTCTCGGCTCCGCCGCTTGGCTTTCCGGCGCTGCTCAGCTCACAGCAGCAAGCAGGCTGCAGATCGTGGTGCGTGTTTACTGATGCTATCAGTGCTGCTTCAGCATGACTCAAAATGTTCTCAAGACAGAATTCGAGAGCTGCCAAAAGAAGTGAGGCGTTAGCAATGGGCCTGACAAAATCGCTAATGAAATAACAATTGCACAGCGAAAGATAAACTGAAGGACCTCTTGTGTGCTAATAACATTGCTTTGATTGTTCCATTTTAATTTTTAACACGATAATCCAAGTCCTTTATTCAAATAAACTCTGGTTTTGGCCGTGCAGCTGATTCTCCGGGGAGCAAGATGATGTTTTTATAAATGAGCACTGTGGGCTTGACCCTGTTATACTGTGCTCCTCGCATGTCTGCTCTGTGGGCTGGGCGCTTTCTCTTGTGGCAATGCTGTGGCTGAGGAGTAATTTTTGTTAGCACTTTAAAATCCTAGAGGGCACCACTGAACAGTTTAGCAATTTTTTATTTTTTTTTTTACAATCCATTCTTCACAGGTGCTGCTGTGCTTGTCTCGGTCCCTCCCTAGCCTTCCTTTCTCTCCATATTCAATTGTATTAAAACTAAAACGATTCTTCACGGTAAATGTGCAGCCAGTGGATGAGTACAAAAAGAAAAAACATGAATGTATAAGAAGAAAAGGTCTTATTATTACAAAATCTAAGAAGTTGCTTCAAAGCTGTAGTCTGCGTAACTTGGCCCCGAGTAAATGCCAACTTGGCGACTCCATCTGCAGCCACTTGCATATTCCTACAGGGGCACAATGCGCAGCTGATTTCCCAATTAAGCTCTCCCGACAAAGTAGTTTTATCATTCAGGCAGCCTCAAAAGTTTGAGAGAGGAATACATATTCATGAGGCACCAGCAGCCCTCCGGCTCAGGCGCAGCTTTCAGCTGGGAGCAGCCCGGGGCTCGGTGCGCCGGAGCCAGCAGGTTGCCACCGGCCGGGCCCCCCCGGGGGGCTCCAGGGAGCCGCTGCCCCCCGCAGCACCGAGCACCGGGGGCTCGCCGGGGCCGGGCCCACCCGCGACCGTGTCCCGCGTGGGTGGGCGGCGGGAGGGGCGCCGGGGGAAGGTCTGTCTGTCCCGGGGGGGCGTCTGTCTGTCCCGGGGGGTATCCGTTTGCCCGGGGGGAGGGTCCCCGGGCGGCCCCGGCCCCGGCAGGGCGAGGGCGGGGAGCGGCCCCGAGCGCCGCCCGGCTGCGGGCGAGGGCGGTGCGGGGGGCGGGCGGCGCGCCCCTGGGCAGAGCCGGCGCCGGGAGCCGGCCCCCCCCGGCCCCCGCCCGCCCCCGCCCGCGGCCGGCGCGGAGCCTCCCGCGGCACCGGGGCTGCGGCCGCGCTCCCCGCGGCGGCGCCAGGCAGGGGCCGTCCCGCGGCTCCCGGCCGCCCACCCGCCAGCAGCCCCGGCCCCGACACGGGACCGGCCCGGCCATGGCAGCCGCGGGCGGGACGCCGCGCCCCGGCCGAGAGCGGAGCCGAGCGGGAGGCAGGTGGGGGCGCCGGGGGGGCGCGGGGGGCGGCGGGGGGCGAGGGCGGCGGCGGCTGCCCGGGGGCTGCGGGGGGGAGCGGAGCGGAGCGGGGCGGGGCGGAGGGGCGCGGGCGGAGCGGCGGTGCCCCCATCCCCGGTACCCCCGGTGCCCCCCACCCGCGGCACCGCCGCCCGGAGCTGCGCCGCGTCCCGGGGCGGCCGCCGCCGCGCTCTCGGTGCGCGCTCCGCGCCTCCCGTCCCGTCCCGTCCCGTCCCGTCCCGTCCCGTCCCGTCCAGCCCCGCCGTGTCGAGCCGAGCCGAGCCCATCCGATCCGATCCGAGCCGTGCCGTGGCCGCGGCGGGCAGGGGGCGCCCCCCGGGAGGGGTTTGGAGCCCAGCGCCGAGCCCAGCGCCCAGCCGCACGCGTGGGCTCCCCCGGCGGGAGCGCTCGGAAGGCGGCCCGGCAGCCCGTGCATCCCGCCAGGCTCCCTTTGCGCTTGTGTCGCTGTCTTTCAGATGCGCCGCTGGCCCTGTAGAGACTTTGCTGCTTCACCTCAGGCTTATGTGACCCTGCTGGAAAGATCATGACCGAAGCCCTCATCTCTGCTGCTTTGAATGGAACTGAACCCAACCTGTTGTCCGGCAGCGGCTGGCCGGCGGGAAATGCCACCACCAAGTGCTCCCTGACCAAAACCGGCTTCCAGTTCTACTACCTGCCCACCGTCTACATTCTAGTCTTCATCACTGGATTTTTGGGAAACAGCGTGGCGATCTGGATGTTTGTCTTCCACATGAGGCCTTGGAGCGGCATCTCGGTTTACATGTTCAACCTGGCGTTGGCCGACTTCTTGTACGTCTTGACGCTGCCCGCCCTCATCTTTTACTACTTCAATAAAACCGACTGGATCTTCGGGGATATCATGTGCAAACTGCAGAGGTTCATTTTCCACGTGAACCTCTATGGCAGTATTTTGTTTCTAACATGCATCAGCGTGCACAGGTACACGGGCGTCGTGCACCCCCTGAAGTCGCTGGGGAGGCTGAAGAAGAAGAACGCCGTTTACATCAGCACCCTGGTCTGGGTCATCGTGGTGGCCGTGATTTCGCCAATACTCTTCTACTCGGGAACGGGGATAAGGAGAAATAAAACCATTACGTGCTACGACACCACGACCGATGATTACCTGAGAAGTTACTTCATTTACAGCATGTGCACCACGGTGTTCATGTTCTGCATCCCGTTCATAGTGATTCTTGGCTGTTACGGACTAATTGTGAAAGCTTTGATTTACAAAGATTTGGACAACTCTCCTCTTAGGAGAAAGTCAATTTACCTGGTTATTATTGTGTTGACAGTCTTTGCTGTGTCGTATCTTCCCTTCCACGTGATGAAGACCTTAAATCTAAGAGCCAGGGTGGATTTTCAGACTCCACAAATGTGTGCCTTCAACGATAAGGTTTATGCCACTTACCAAGTGACGAGGGGTCTGGCCAGCCTCAACAGCTGTGTAGACCCCATTCTTTATTTCCTGGCAGGTGACACCTTTCGAAGGCGGCTTTCCAGGGCAACCAGGAAATCCTCCCGAAGAAGTGAACACAATGTGCAGTCCAAAAGTGAGGAAATGACTCTCAATATTTTATCAGAGTATAAGCAGAATGGAGATACAAGTTTGTGAATTAATGCGAAAGATTTGGGAACGGTTTGCAAAAATCCTCCACTTTGACAGAGTAGGACGCGATAGTGCTACAAGTGTGTGAGGAAAATTTATCAGTCTCTCAAACTCATTTTAGATAAAGCCTCTTTTTCTGCTCTTAGAAAAAAACTTAACAAAGTAAGTGGAAGAACTTTAATCTTAATGGAGAATAACATGTCAAAATTCAGCTTTCCTTCTCCTTACAATGTTCTCGTTTCTTTCTGACTTGTGTCAGATAAAGTAAAATGAAGTAAATCCCCTAAAGGAAGAAAGCAATCAAAGTGCTTCTGTTTCAGTGACTTAGTCTCCCACACTCAAAGCGATCTTCATTAGCCTCCCTTTAAAAATAGGAAATAAAAGTAAGAAAGAGCAGCATCTTCTCTTCTGATGCTCAGTCCACATACTGAGCCTCGGTGCTGTCCTTTCGCTCACTTGCCATTGTAAACAAGTGTGTAAATCACGGTCCTGGTGCGGCTGGCACACCTTTACGGTTTCATTATTTCTTCATCTACTTCTAGTGTTGATAATTATTTGGTAGTTTGGTAACGTTTATGATTCAGTCTTCGAATGCCAGCGTGTTACAAAAGATAGGCTTGCCGACGTGTGTGCATGATTATGCTTTCAGTTCACGGCGGCTGCTCGTGGCAGACGCGGAACCCGCAGCAGACCGCCGCGCGGGCGGGTGGGTGGCTCCGGGAGCCGGTGCAGGCACCTGCCTCGCACCCGCGGGCAGCGGTGCGCTCCGTGAGCTGCTGCTGGAGCACGGTGTGTGCACAGGGGCCGGCGGCCTGATCCTGCCTGGGCACTGCGTGCTGCAGCCCCTGCCCTTGGCCGCTCGTGGTTGCGGTCGTCCTGCAGGTCTTTACGGGTAGAGCGCCAGAAACGTGTCTGCTGGGACTGGCCGTGCCTTGTAGAGGAGTGGAACTACATCACCTGAGTCACCTGCGGTTTCTTTTGGTGCGAGAATATTTCTGTTCCTGGCAATCTTTACAGAGAACATGAAAGTTGTTTCCCAAGAATATACCTATAAAAAACGATATATATATGGTTTATATTATATATATGTATAAATAATTGGGAGGGAATTAATTTTTTGGTATTGTGACAAATTACTGTATTAACAAGATGTTGCAATATACTACAGACTAAATCTACCCGTTTGTTGTATATCTTCTCCAAATGTGGAATAGGTCATCTAAAATTAGTCAAGCTGAAATGTTGTGTAATACAAGAGCTAGTGATCAGAGCACAGATGAAACCTTACATGGGCAGTCATTCATTTCTCATATTTTTAAGAAATGTGTTTGAAAATATTGTGTGTTAAAAGCAGTATGAAGGCATGCTTTAAATGATAAATTTAGTGTACAAAATTAAGTTCTGTGTAATCCTAGGGGTGATTTAAGCAGATCCTCATTCCTCCAGTCTTCATAGTAAGAGTAAAATATTTATATTTTGCTTACTGATTTTCAGTGGTTGGTAACAAACAGGAGTAGCCTCGTTACTTTTTGACATCGTTGTAAAGCAGCTTCTGTTCAGACATACAGCTTCTTAATCTGCAAAGTCCCTATTTATTGAACTTATTTATTAGAAAACTAAATGTAAAGTATGTAAAGTGTGGTTCTCCGTGTTCATATTCAGAATTGGGCATTAATGGAAAATTTAACAGCATGTTTAAATCATTGTACTACTGTGTCTTCTAACAGAACATCTTTATAATAAACTCAATTCCACCCTGACTATTCACTCTTGATATATAACCTAGAGATAAATTAAACTACTAATATATAGCCTAGAGATAAATTAAACTACTGCTTAGGAAGCATAGCTTCTTGAAGCAATGTTAAGATCCCATTTAGCACTGTAAGATGAAAAATGGAGAGAGTGAAAAAATCCCAACCAAGGGTCAATTGCTAATTAATCCCTACTGACAAAACACTGTAGAATAGCACAGCCTATTTATATCACCAGAGAATGAGACTGGTTCAGAATAAATGACTTCTTCTATTATGTGATTATTTGAGACTTCATTCAGCCGAGGCACATCTTGTTTAGAATGGCAGATGAATTAAGCAGAGGGAGCACATTAAAATATGATACGCTCTGGATCTGCTTCTCTAGGTTTAAAATTGTATTCGTGTCCCAGAGTTTTGTAGTCTATTTCTCTTTTTTCTTTCAGTTAGGAAATAAAATGTTCCACCAAGTCATGTCCTAAAAAAGGTCCTAAACGCGGAGACGCAGCAGAACAAAAGCCTTGCACCCAGGCTGGTCCTTCTGTAGTTGCTCAAAGTCTTTTTGCAGCGTGCCTCTCTAATACGGCAAAGTTGGCTGGCTCTTACGCTGTGTATAGTTCAAGTGCAACCAAATTGTACAAGCCCAGGGACCCCAGGTTTGGCATGCTGCAGGAGAAACCCACCTGTCTGCACAGAGAGCCTGTTGGGGAAAATCCCCCCCGAGATGCAAACGGCAGTACCTTCCCCACAAACATGGGTCTTGAGCTCCTGGGGTGGATTTTGTGCACTCATCCTGAAGCAGCTGTAAGATCTCTGCTTCATCTTGCCTCACTGAAGAGAGCTCTGCAATTTGACCGGTGTGGTCACCCGGTGCGTTGCTGAGGTCTGTGCTGATATTTTATTTAACAGAGACCCTTTTTATTGCTGAGCAGCAAGGGCAGGCAGCTTCCCGCAGCATCTTCACCCCACAGAGGTGTACGGGAGCCTCCCGCTGACCCCGAGAAGGATCATTGAACACAGTTTACACACAGTTTGTTTTCCTTCTTTTAGCTCCTGTGACCTGGAGAGCTAACCCCTCAAACCACATCCTACTCCCATGTGGTTCCCAGATGCACACACACCGAGGTGCCACAGCCAGCACTGAGACCTGCTGGAACTTGAGGCTGATCCTCACAATCTTATGTAGTTCCTGCTTTTTTTTTTTTTTTTTTTTTCTTTTTTTTTAAAGCGCTGTTGTTTTTGCAGTAGGTTAGTCAGAGGCACTGCACAATCACACCCAATTTGTATCTCCTCCCACCTGGCTGCTCGTTACCTGCAGCATCACAGAATCGCGTGTGTTGGGCTGTCCCAGCAGCGGGGAGCCTGCTCGGGCACGGGGACACTGCTGGGATGAAAACCAAGGCAGTGTGCTGGCTGCAGCCATGGGCTCCGGGGGAGCTTGGCAAGTCTGTTGTTAAATATTTCCCTTTTGGTACTTACCCTTACCACAGTAGTGAAAAACAGTCAGTCCATGGACATCCGTTTAGTTATTTGTGATGGGTATCATTGAAGAAGCCTTTCCCTAAGCCGCTTTACTGAAGTTCCTTTCTGACCTATCTGATGTGCAAAGACTATGCAATCTCAATTACAGCCTGTGGGCTTTGGCTGGCATTGTTAATTAATTAGCAATGATGACAACGGGCTGTGTTAGTGGGAGCCAGATTCAGCTCATCAACTAACTACAAGACCACCTAAAAGCTCCATCTTCCCTCGTGCTGCATTAGCCTTTGACTAGCAAATGAAATCAAACATTTCATGATTATGCCTTTAACCTATTTTTCCTCTGTGTCAATTCGGAATCTTTTAATAAATATAAATCATTCACTGAAGATGCCAAAAGAAGTTTGAGGTAAATAGTTATTTATGAGCTTTAGACTTAGGAAAGCATTCTACCATCATCCATACAGAAACAAATTGTTATTCATTGATTATATTTTGCTTCCTACAGTTCGTGGGGTTAATTTTTTTCCTCATTTCTGCCCATTAACGCCCACATATTGTAATCTTTAATACAAAATGAAATCAGTATGAAACCTACACATGATCTGCTGTCAGTTCAGAGGTTTTCATAACATCTAGGATTTGAAGGTCCCTTACAACCGAACTATTCTATTCTATTTTGTTTGTTTGTTTGTTTTGAATCCACTTCATATGATACAAAGTAGATGAAATCAGGATCAAGAGTATCTTAGCTGCCCCTGCTTTGCACAGCCAGCACTAAATGGCCTGCCCAGCTGCCTCCCAGCCCAGCCTGTCCCGTGGTGCTGAGGCACGGGGCGATGAGAATCTGCGGGACAACTGCTGCTTAAGGAGGGGATTCCACAGGCAGCAGACCGCAGGCTTCCTGTTTATGTCCAAGGACAGAAATGAAGATTTGTTTTCATAGTGTCAGCCCACAGAATAAACCCTCGGTCACGCTGCGTGAGCCCAGCAGAAGGGGTCATTCTGGGCTTTCCTCTGCCTGGCATCCCGCTCCCCTCCTTCCCACAGGGACAGGGCAGGGGGCTGTGAGGCTGGGGGTCGCCTCGCAGAGGTCTGCCTGCCGGAGCAGCCGGCTCCTCGCATGCCCCGCGGTTGCAGGGCTGAGTCTGGAGCAGGCTGAGCACAACTCGCTTGTCTTGCGAGCTCTAATCCCTCCAAAACCTGGGAAGAATGCATCATGCAAAGCGTCTGCTCTTTCCCACTGCTGGAGCAAAGCCCTACCTGACCAGCAAGGTCTGTAACAGTCAAACAGGCTGGCCCCAGGGGGGACAGGAGACAGCAAACCCTGCTAATCGCCTCACTGGGATGTTTTTTCCCCTGTTACTATTTTTTGTCTCCAGATCGGGCCAGAACAAAGATTAATAGAGTGATACGTCCTAAAACGGATATTGCTTATTGCTGTGAAAAGCTCATTTTTCCAAGTCTATGCACTTGTACTCGCTATCTGCACTGGTTAACCTTGTGAAGATTTTGCAGGAAGCTTCAGGCTGAAGTTCTTTCTATTTGAATATGAAAAAGGTTTTCAGAGTTCCTGAGCAGCCGCCTGACGACCTCCAGTAGCAGCGATGGGAAGCGCAGCACCGATGGGTGCCCACTGCTCACCAACAGTGCACGTACCGAGCTCCTGTCACAGCGCTTGTGCCCCTCCTGGGCACAGCCACCTTTGTACGGGAGGGACTCATGGAAACGCAGCAAACTGCCCAGACTGACCCAATTAACCAGCAGCTGAGGCAGAACAAGGGCCATGGGAGAGGCCGCCGCAGTCCTCCCGGCATGGGCTGGGTCTTGTGGGCGCTGGGGCTGCAGAGGCGAAGCTGCGGGAGGCGATTCTGGGCCTGGGGCGGCTGGCGGAGAGCTGCGCTGGAAGCCCTTAGCTTCAAAAAGGTAGAGCTGCTTAAACAGCGCCGTGTCACCCCACCTAAACTCGTGTTACTTCTGACTTCAAGTCCTTGGAGCATGATCAGAATCCACTACTGAATATTACGTCTGGAGTCTAATTGTATTGGCACGATGATTTCGAGTACTTTGGAGACATACAACTTGTGAATTAAGGCCACGACGTATTTTCTGACTATGAATTACAGGGTGTTTCAAGGATATATGTGAAAATGTTTATTTTTCTCTCGTACTGTGATTTCTATATTGTTAAGTTCAATTTCTGTGTAAATATTAGTGAAAATTGACTTTGCAATATCTGCAGAGACAGTGTTACTTGGTATTTCAGCTTCTCAGGTTATGTAACTGCTTTAATTAAATAGTAGTAAAAAAATCCCCTTATTTGTATGTAATTTTAATGAATAAGAAGGTTTGGGTTTTTAATCAAGCACAGGTTTGTTTGCACGTACATTTGGTGTTAGGCATGGCTTTTGAAGTTGTACCTATTTTTAGTGACAGCAGAGCTGCAGCCGCAGAGTTACTGGCACTGTACCTAGCAACCTTCTCTGGAACAGGCACCAATAAAATTCTGAAACACTTTTCCTGCCTTTTGTGTTATTGCGGTTAATTCACATTTCTAGGTGATTCTTCAGACAGCGATACGTGGTTCAAAATAGGTAACAAAGGGCTTACAAAATGCGTGTGTTTCAAGTGGCCCGGCCAGGCGAGGAGGCCTCGGGCAGGCCGCGTGGTGCTGAGCTCCGTGGGCGCCCTCCCTCATGGCGGGACGGGGGCACCGAGCACGGCTCTGCCCGAGACCTGCGGCTGCTTCCCCCCCGCACCAGGCCCTGCCGTCATTTCCAGTCTGGCCGGGGAGAAACCAGTTCCAGCTCCCTGTCCCTGCCCTCCTGCTCCCGGCTCTGCCTGCCCCTGCTCTCCCTGCCCGCTCCCTCTCGGCCTCGGGTATTTGTTGCTCTGGGACTGTCCGTGGCTGCAGCCTTCCCTGGCAGGCGGTAGCACATCCCCTACCCCGCACAGATAAGGAGCTGCATCTGTCTGTGCAGAGACTTTCCTTTCTCTTTGGCACTGGCTGCAGCGTGCTGATTCTGTTGCAGGAATGAAGGAGGGACTGCTCCTTTCCAAATGGCTTAACATTTCAAAAAATGATTAAAATGTTTAACCTCCTTTTTTTATCCGTACCTAGTCTGATAGTACAGGGTCAGAGGTGGGGGCCCCCGGTGCCAGCCCTGCGGGGAGCAGGGGCACTGCACCCACTGCTGGGGCCGTGCTGCAGGGATGGGGATCCATGGCTTCCGTGGGGTGCTGATGTTGGACCACCCTCACTGAAAAAAAAACACACATTTTCTGCCTGTGTCTGTGCCATACCAGGATCCCAGTGCTCAGGGTGCCTGGGGGACCCCCTGCTGGGACCCCCGTCCTGCCCCATGCTCCCAGCCCCAGCTCCCCAGCATGGCTGTGGGTCTGAGCGTGAACGACACGGCGTGGCCCGGTGCTGGCGAGGCTGAAGCTAGGCTGCTGGCAGGGATATAAATCCCCGAGGCTTTGCAGGATGCTGTGGCAGCTGAGTGTGGGTGTTGCAAATGCCAGCAGTGCCTCGACATAAGGCACCGGGAGGACAGCAGGGCGCTGGGGGTGTTCGTAGGCACGGGGTGGGGTCACACGTCCACACAGGGCTCCTGCAGCAGGCACACAGCTCGAGCACTGACAGGTTCACACCTCTCTTTGTGAGGCACCATTACGGCCTTCCTGGTTCCCCAGTAAACAATTTGAATCAGTCCTGCCCCCTGCCTCCCCTTCAGGCAGGTCTGCTGGTGGTCCTGCAGAGCGGAACCTGAGCAGCAGCAAAAGAAACCACAGGGAGAGGCCTGGTGCACAGGGAAGGTAGCTGAAAATCAGAATTTCTGTTGCCTGTAAAAAAGTCAACATTATGAAAACAACTTTATGCTGTATTTAAACTTCCCAGCCCTGCAGCCGCGGGTGGAACCTCGCTCACGTGGTCTCTCCTTCTGGCCGCCAGCTGGGAGAAGCTTCAGGGTTATACGCAGCTTGGTACCAAGTATTATGCTGGTATTATTTTTAATTTCATAATTAAAGAGCACTTTTAAGAAACCATGCAAAGTTAACTCTTTGCAGGCAATTTGCATGGTAGAATTTTAGTATCCTAGGTGTAAGCTCCAGAGAAACATGGTTATACAAGGAAAATAGGTTAACGTAGCATTGTAGAGGAGAGATGATTTATGTCTGATGTCACTGGCCGTTTATTATGGGCGATTCATTGAACGACACTGCCATTACGAGAGGCTGCTGATACTTCTTTAAAGCCTCCAAATTGCCATCCCAGGAAAGCCCAGTGTCAGCACTGCTGTGGTGGCCAGAAATAACCCGCTGCTGGGCCAGCCCCTCCTGCACCAACAGTGAGCGGGTCAAAGTGAAGTAACGCAGACTGTATCACAGCCTACGGGCACACCAGTACATCCCATGGAACCAGCAATGGCACTGAGTGGTGTGACTTTGCTCCTGCTCCAGAAGAGGTGCAGGCCGGTGACCCTGCCGCAGTGCCGCAGCACGGCATGGGAAGCGCGCACGGCTTTGGCAGAAAACGTGACACCAGCACTGGCAAAGCCTATAAAAGCCCAGCAAAAATAATAAGCCGCTTTGCTATAGGGAGGAAACGCATGTCAGTTTACAAAGCCGAAAAGGAATGACAAACCACCAAACCCTTGGGGCACTGCTTGTACGAGCTCCGAGCTCCCCAGCCGCCGGTGCCTGGAGGTGCCGCAGGAGGCGGCGGGGCCGGTCGGAGCCCGCTGCGAGGGCCTGGGCTGTGCCGGCAAGAGGCAGGGCAGTCGGGTAATTATTTCCTCCCAGCAACCCCTCGCTGCCTGTATTCTATTCTATTTATCCCGTCACTGGAACGCACACCTCCACGGAGCTGCTTGGGGCAGCAGCATGAGCACGAAGGGCACAACTGTCCCCATTCCCAGCCCTGTCCCTGTTCCTTTTCCCAGCCCCTTTCCCACTCCATCCCACGCCGAGTGCCAGCCCCGTGCAGGGCTGAGAGCAGTGCCTGGGACTCAGGGCAGGATGGGCTTTGCCTCCTCCTGTCCCACTCCCCAGCACGTCCAGGGCAGGGGCTGCACCATGCCCAGGGAAGGAAGCGCTGCGGGTGTGCAAATAAAACACAAAGAGTGGACTGGAAGGGTTTCTGTAGCAATTACCTTCGTGGCAACAACAGCCAGGCCAGAGAGAAGCAGCGTGGCCAGGCTCTGCCTGCACTTCCTTCTGTGCTGCAGCTTTCCTCCGCCCCAGAGATGTGTCGGGACACGTTTGGCACAAGCGGAGAAGTTAAGTTGTTGTTCAACATTCTGCGTGTCACTGAGCCGTGGCACTGATGCTTCCTGCAAAAAATATCTGCAAGCGCGGCAAAGCTGTTTGATATTACAGGCCTTATTTAAACCAGCACTTAGATAGTAAAAACAGGCTCATTTCCCTCCATCCACACATACTGGCTACCCATTAACATTCCTTCTCATGCTCTTGCAC